CTCAAGACTCAGAACCGGAAATAGAGACCTACGTAAACAAGCAGCTGACTGTTCTGAAAGACAGGATAAAACACCTATCCGTCGATAAGAAATACGATTTTTTTAGGGGAGGCGTTTAACCCAGGGGTGCGTTTTCCCCACAGTTACCCTAAACAACACTAAGCTTGCAATGAATCAAAAATTAATATTACTATTTAAGAATTCCAAAGAAAGATTTTCATTGTTGAGCAAAAACCTTAATCTTTTTTCATTTGCCTCTAATGACTTTTGGGACCAAAATTTTTCACATTTTTATTTTTTCAAAATAAACTTCATGTCATTGCAAATGGACATGCAAAAAATTAGAAAGGTGTTCTTTCTATAAGATCCTCATTTTCCCGCAAGCAAAATGGGTTTCGGAGGGGTTGATACGACCCCAGCACGCCGTTTCGCTTCTAATAGAGCTAGAGCCTCGCGGAAAAAACGAGCGTGTGTGCCGTTACAAGTCGCAGCGAGTGGTACCCGGTTTTAAGGTCTCAGGTTAACCGGTAGCGTCTGAGGTCAGGTCACGTGACTGAAGTTACGGGTTCGGTTTTTAGTAAATAACTTCACAAAAAAATGGCCGCAGAGCCGCGATTTTGGCATCAATGTGTTCGCCTAGCTCAGGTGCATCGAATGGTATACTTTTGGCTAGGGTGAGGTCAATTTAAGTAGTTGACCTCGGGTCAAGGTCAGGTCAGAGCCCCTCAGGTCACGAAGCTGGGCAAAGGGTATCATATGGCATACCATTCGATTCGGAAGGTCTTCCCGAGTCCATTGGTGGCTTTCCCGACTCTCTAGCTCCATTTGATCGGGAGTTATTGACGAAAAACTCGTACGACCCTAGTGACGTCATAAATGACGTCACGCAAGGTTAACAATGCAAAAGTGAAGCATAAGGAGTGCATGAAATCACGATACCATGTAGGGGAAAGTGGGGTAAGACGGGCACCTTAACTTTGGAGCCATTTTTCGGCCAGTTAGAAACATCATAGAAACGGGAAACTGAGTGAAAACCTTTTATAGACATTTTACTTCCATTTGCCAGGAGATGGGACTTAGACCTGGTTCAACAAATAAACTGCAGCTATTTTTGCAAAACCTTGCAAAAACCCGTCTTACCCCACCCCATGGGGTAAGACGGTCACATGGGTAGGGCAAGACGGCCAGCTTCTTTCACCGACCAGCACAGCTCGCAACAAATGCCCGATATTAGCCGCATTGATACAGTCGCTCGTTGGTCTCAAGTGCTTCGGAAATGGCAGTATACGAGATTCGTGCAGAAGGCGTATGCTCGTATATATAGGCCCTAGTTCACAAGTCATGGAACCGTTTTTCACATTCATTATTCGAGAATAAACTGTGCCGAAGGAATATTGCTAACATGTCTGTGAGTATCGGAATGGAACATATTCTTATTAGAAATGCTTCTTTTTTTCCTTCAGCAACAAAAATATTTTCACCATTACAGACCCATTGGATTCAAAGATGCCCGTCTTACCCCAAACTCAATGTCAGAAGTTCAGCACGTTTTTTCCCTGTGGACAATTTGATGCAGACAAAGCTAATCCGCGGTAAATGAACAGTGGTGGCATATGAGTGTACCACAAGTGATTGCGAGTTTTTAACTCTACAGTGCTGCACACAAAAGCTTGCACAATACATTATGGATGTTTTCAATGAAATGAGTGTTTTAAAGAAATCAAAATAAAAGATTATCGACTGAACACAAATTCACCAGACTTCAATAGTGGTGTGGAGTGGGAAAGGCAATTCTGGTCCTAATTTTTCTCGCTCGTAGCGCTATTGGTTTGGTCTGCAGAAGGGGTGCCCGTCTTACCTACCCTGACCGTCTTACCCCACTTTCCCCTACGTGAGATAGTTTTAGATCATGCTCGGCGCCAAAATAACAGTTTTTATATTTCCCCATTGACTTATAACAGTGATGTCACGTGACCGACTTGACCTCATGTAACCTTAAAAAATTCCCAGATATACAAGTTGTGAGACCTCTGGAGGACACCATGTATGCGTCCTGTAACTTTCATCTCGGACAGCTCAGGTCATTGGCGTCCAAAACAATGTCAGAAACAAACAGCCTTTTTCACCCTCGCGCTTATAGGAAAGAGGGTTGGATGAACCCTCTTTTCACTTTTTTCAGATGACTCAGACTTCAATTAAAATTTCAGTAACCCGTGATGTCACTTGGCAGCTTTACCACCCCATTTATAAGCTCCCCTCCCGAAATCACTATTCGAAACCGTTATCGTGACGTAAAATAAATACATTTATAGAAAGAACACCTTCCTAATTTTTTGCATACTTCTTAACAATGACCCATTTATTTTTTTTAAGAAATAAAAATTCAAAAAAAAATTGGTCCCAAAGTCCAAAAAATACAAATGAAAGAAAACTCGATATTTCATGCATCAAAAATAGCGCATTTTTCGAAATTTCAAAAATACGTATTAATCTCTGTTTCATTGCAAGTTTAATGTTATATAACATTTTGCATTTAAATAATCCGTCTTAGAGTTACAGCCCGCCAAACTTAGCGCTGCTAAGCAAGATCCAAAAAATGTTATACACCATAACTCAAAAAATACTTATCTGATAAGCCTGAAATTGTTACAGGTGGATTCAGAGCCCCTGATTACCCCTGAGACCAATTTTCGTCAAATTCCGAGGGATGAGGGTGTCAAATTGGAAAAAAGTGGTACGATCTATCGTAGAATGCCCCAGGTACCAAAGACCATCAGTGGTACCTGCTATTGGTCTCAAGATAAGGGCCCAGGCGACCTGTAGCTTTAATGCAGTAAATACCCTTAACCTCGCCACAGCTGACAGCTCGGGCCGAGTGCATCCCTCCTTCCACCCAACCCGCACCCCACATTCGAGTTGTGGCGAGGGTAGGGTAAGGTGCCTAATTAGCGACCCTTTCCAATTTGCGACCTACCTCCCTACAGAAAAACTGGCAGGAGAAAACGGGGTAAAAACATCGTCAAAATGTCAGCTAAACTTTGGTTATCAAAATAAATTATTTTCCGGTCGTCGATGTTTCTGGTGGGACGTTTCAGGTGAGTTTAAATAAAAATGTTAAGTTTCTTATCCAAAACGTGTGTGTTTGGGCCCTCTCTGATGAAAAGCGATGCACATTAGGATCATGCACCTTTTTTATTTTGAATCGACATTCTTTTTTCAATTGATTGCCGTTTTCCCATAGTGAATCGCTCAACTGTGCTCAGCATGGCGGTTAAAAATGTGTCGCAACTCATATTTCCTATTTGCGCCTGACATGGTCGCAAATAGCTCAAGAAGGGAAAGAAAGGGGAAAAGAGAGAAATGAAAATGAGGTGTTGCTGAAGCTTGCAATGTGTGGCAGGGGATGCCAAATGTCGTCACCGACTGCAGGGGTGCCGAATTCAGCGCGGATCTCGAATATCATACAAGATAGCCCGCAAAGTTTGGGATTCCGCCTTCTTTTCGCCTTCGGTGCATCACGTGATCAGTTTTTACTTACTTAAATGTGTTGGATAAACGTTCCTGTTCGAGTGATTGAGTGCTTTGCGTATAGGTTACCTTTTTGAGATCATATTTCATCTTTTCAGGCGTCGTAATTTTTGCCATTTTTAATGTGGAGAAACCCATAGACTTATTAGCGACCCTCCCCGGTCGCTAATCGGGAAGAGTTCCCTATTAGCGTTTTTTTTTGCAATGGTTTGCCAAAATGCTCACTACAAATAAGTTAGTGAATATTGGGGCAGAAAATGACTAAAATGAACGAGATGAATAAAGAACGAGATGAATAAAGATGAATAAACTAAAAGAAAAATGAACGATCTCTCCGAAAATCAAGCCAGTAATACAGTGGCACCCACAGAGTGTGAGCAATGGCGGTTCAAATTAAGGGGGTCGCTAATTAGGCACCTTACCCATATACCCTCGGGGGTATTCACCGCATTCGAACTATATGTACGGTCGCCTGGGCCCTTATCTTGAGACCAAAAGTACCATTAGAGGCAAATGAAAAAAGATTACGATTTTTTTAACAAATCACATTTTGTGTTCGAATTCTAAAAGTTATATTGACCAAAGACCCGCTGGGGATGCATAAAGTTCACCCATTTACCTACCTTTTGTGGAATATATCCGAAACCTGATGAGCCACGAACTTAAAACTTGGCATAGCTTCAAATGAATACTTAGGCGATGTTTAAGAAAAGTTGGGTGGTTGTACCACTTAAAATGACGTCACAGTGATGTCATAAAGTTTTGTCGTTTTCCGATATGGAGCGTTTCTGATGTCCCGGAGCATAAAACTCAACTGAATGAACTGAACAGCTCCTGCTGCTATCCTGACACATCTAAGCACACTTCCAATAGTACCTGACCAATGATCGGCCCTTTATATTCGGTTCCATATATCGGACATATCGTGAGAAAACTGCATAACAGTCGCAAATCTATCATTTGACTTCTGCCGTCACTGTGACGTCATTTCAAATGGGATCGACACCAAATTTGGATTGAGGATCTGTGCAAAGTTTTGCTTATTTATCTCTTCGCGTTGCGACTCGTCGCAGAAGTAATGGGGGCAACTATATGCCCCCCCTTCCTCCCACCCAGTGGCCGCTGGGTTAATCTTTGATTCATTGCAAGTTCAGTGCTGTTTAACGTTTGTTTTGATTAGTGGGTGCCGGGTGGGGTGCAACCCCCGGATCTCCGTCGGCGACAACCCTGAGCTTACCTATAGGAAAATGCTTCAGCCAAGTCGGTATACGCAGGTATAGCGACTGGCAGACGAACAGAACTTTGGAAGGCCACCATTTGAAATGAGGCATTTTTAGACGGTTACTTCGGAATAGGGCCTCGGCCACCTTCTTGTACACGTTACACTGAATTACTAAAAAAAAAAGCTGATAACCGAGGCATTTAGGCTCCAAAGTCCATACCACTGGAAATCAACTAGGTACTTCACTTACCATGAAAACCTGGCTAGGTCGCCTAGCTTGACGACTAGCAGTACGGCTGCGAGCGGTGAGAGGAGGAGTGTCAGCGCTCGCCGGGTCATCTTCTGTCTCAGGAGGTTGGACATGCTGAGAGGGCCGAGCGGCAGTTCCGTACCGGCGGCCGCCCCGCCAGGTCCGGTGCAAGTGATCCGCCGTCACCTGGCTCTGCCGCCGCAACCGACCCCAGGTATACACAGCCTGGGCAGCCAGCCAGGCGCCGCAGGGCAGCACCAGCGAGACATGTTCTGTTTCGTGTGCTCACAAAAAGTAGTCGCGACGAAAAGAATTTTCAGACGAATGAGTAGTAATAGACAAATCTATATATTGAGACGGGTTACACAGCACATTGGGTGGACGCATTTCGTCTAAATGACTTTTTCGACACCCTCTCGGAAATTAAAACAATACAAACACACAAGAATAAAACTAGCACAGCAGTCTCACACTATGTTGAAATACAGCATGCTTAGAATGCGCATTTCTACAAATGATTACCTTCAATAAAAAAAAACTATTTGTAGGTACACAGCTACTGTTACATAACCAGTAAAACGCCTTTTGGGCGAAGAACGAGCGAGCGAGATAGTGAGCCCTGCACGTGCGGAAGGGCGAGAGGGTACTTCCAACGGGCTTGCGCAAAGCACCCCTCCGACCGGTCGCTAGCGGTGTACCAAATTTGAACGCAATCGGCCCAGCCGTTCCTGAGATCTTGAAGCGGCACTCTGCACGTGCGCACGTGCAAACGGGGTCCAAACTGACTTTTGCACGGCACCCTACTAGCTGGTCCCCAACCGTGTACCAAATTTGAGCGCAATCGGCCCAGCCGTTCTCGAGATCTGGAAGCGCCCACTGCACGTGCGCACGTGCAGTAGCACCTTAACCGCAACACATGGGAATGCATTGCCTGGTGGGTGCCTACCTGTTTGCCAAGTTTCAGCGAAATCGCCCCAGTAATTACCGAGTTATTAAAATGGGAACAAATTTGACACCTCTTATTGTTGTATTTTGCACGTGCACTGGGGGTGACCCACATGCATCGAGAGTATCCTATTTTTGGTAGAAGGGATGCCGCTACCCTACAAAAATTACCGCAAGTCAATCGCCCAAGCGGCTGCTGAGATATGAGCCTCTTTAAAATCACTACTTTTGCAAAACAGCTTGAACACCCTTGACTTTTCACGTGGCAGTGGCACGTGCCACGACGGCCACTGATATGTATCAAAAGTAGTCAATTACGGGGTAGAAGGGATGGGGCTACCCAACAAAAAAGACCGCAGGCCAATCGGTCCAGTGGTTGCTGAGATATAAGCCTCTCAAAAGCGTTACAGGCCGGGCCGGGCCGGGCCGCTCATACTGAGATTTTTTCGTTATATTGAAAAGATTCGCTTCGCTCGCTGCGCTCGCTCGCTCGTAATCATCGACGAGAATACAAAAATAGCACACTTATAACGACTCGAACGGTCAGTTTAAATTTTTTTAAAGTCAAGTTTTTATGCTGAACACTGCTGCTGATTTTGCCCACAAAATCAGCAAAATCAGCAGCAGTGTTCCCTACCTGGTACTAAACCCTACCCTGGTATTGATTGTATCGTTCGTTGTACCTAATAAATGCCGCTTCGGTCACTTTCCGACATCCCTTGTTCCCACAATTCGCTTACACTTTCACCCCGTCCCAATTTCGTAAATGACTAGTGGAATGTGCGTGAACAATTAAATATATGTACCACCGGTGGACTCCGGGGAAAACAACAACAACAACAACAACAAAGGCACTGTGGTCGGCGTCGTTTCGTATGTCTCGCTTGTGCTCTTAGGCGTGTTTGGATTCCCCTACCAGTTTCTCCACTCCAATATAAGATTTGTTGCAGTTACCACACGTTGCCTGATAAACTACGCTAAGTTCTCTATTTCTAGTAGTTTTCTTTTGAATTAACTCACCTATCTTCTTTCCAGTGGTCAGTGCCACCTTGAGGCCTGTCGTTTCGAGTTTCTGGGTGATACTTTCGGCTACTTTTGAGTTCGGTAGGTATTGAAATAAATCGTGCGTCTTTCTTTCGAGCTGTTAGCCTGTTTCGTTCCTCGTTTTGTTTCGAATGTCTAAAGCCTTCTTTTTTCAAACGAATGAGAAGACCCTTTGGGTACTTCAGCTTCATGAAAGCTGAAAGATATGCCGGATTTCGTCATCGAGATATTCTTCGCTGCATATCCGGAAAGCCCTTAATCGCCCATGTAGGGGGGGGGGGTTGGTGCAACCCCCCCTGAGGTTTTTCTTAGCTACACGCCGAACCGTTTCAGATAGCCTGCTCAAATTTTCAGTACCCTATGGGGCATCCTTTGCGCAACTTTTGTTTTTTTGTCAAGGTTATGTCAGGTCACGGAGTTATGACGTCATAAAGTTATGACGTATGACGTCGGCCAGATTTACGCTAAATTGGAGATTGCTTCACATTGGTATAAATGCCGACTGACCTGACACACTGATGGATTGTTTTAGAATCACAACTGGCTGATTTGACATTGGCACAATGTCCGTTGACATTTTGAAGGTTACTTAAGGTCAAGGTAAGGTCAGTGACCTCGGTTGACCTGTAATGACTTCTTGCACTTGTATGCCTTTTCGGGGTAATTTGATGCCCTGAATTCGAATTTGCTATCCATTTCAGGCATCGTCGGTTGTTTCTTGTTGTTTATTTTGGGTCAGGGTCAGGTCAGTGACGTCACACGCCTGACGTGACCCAATGCACAAATGACCTTGCAGACTTCCGATGCTCCCAACGCATCATTTTTAGAGGTATGACATCGAAATACACACCAAACGATAGAGAATTGATCAAGGATCACGATAGTTAAGGTTTCAAGTCGATATCTTTTACCGTTTTGCCGCAATCGGCGCGGAAATCTGAAAAAGTTAGATTTTTCCGAAAATTTGACCTTTGACCGGTCAAACCTAAGTAGGTCAAATGTTGACCTAGGACCAAAAACTATACCACCAATCGCGAGATATCGTTGGGAGCAATCCGTTGGTCTTTTCCGCTAAGCTCTACGACGCTCCGTTTTCAAACGCCAGGGGGGTCGCACCAACCCCGCCACCTGCATGGGCGAATTGGTGGCAAAACACCGTTTACGGGCGAGGGTTAAAAAGAACCCCAAGACTATCCCACTTTTGACCCTCTCGCTATGGCCTGAAAAATAATGAACGTAGTCTTCCTTATTTGTAGGTTTACGATACACTTTGAATTTTGCATGACTACCACTTCGTACCTACTACATCGGTATCTAAGAAGGGAATGGATGTTTGTAGGTATCAAGTGAACTGGATATTTGGGTCAATCGCGTTCAGTTCGTCGTCGCGGTTGACCCAAATATCCAGTTCACTATAGAAACAGAGAGAAACGGAAACAAACAGAGAGAAACCAATAAATTACAATACAATAAAGTACAATAAATTGTTATGGTTGCCCCCCCCCCCCCCAAAGCAAGCTCTGAGCTGGATCCGTCTCTATCAGGCGTAGTGTGCAAGATATATGGTTTATGGTAGGACCTGGCTCGACCCGTCATAAAATTTCCCAGAACCGGTCTGGACTCATATGGGTCCAGAGTCCAGACCGGTTCTTTGGACATTTTATTCCTCGGGTCCACATTTTGCCAGGTCTGGCTTAGCGCTCCAGTCAACTGATAGCTTCTGAGGAGTGAAATATCATTCTGTAGTCGACTATACAATGCAAGTTGATTGCACTATATGTATGTAATTCTTAAAAACAGACTAAAGGATATTTTCTTTATGCTGTTTTAACACGCACCATGAACTAAAATTATTTAGCAGTCTAAACCATGAACGATGATTCCAAATTTTGTGATGTTCCTTGCGCTAAGAAGACGAAATGACAGGGACATTTCTCTATGGCAAGGACGCAGAAATGCGTAATAAATGACGTCATCAATATGTCAAATTTTTAAAGTTCTCATATTTCTTTCTGGTCGCATATCAGGATTATCTTGACGCCTTTCTGTTTTAATAACTGAAACAAGTACGTTTAGCTTATTTTTGCCGAAATTAAATCAAACGCACGAATATTATTATAAATCTCATGGAGTTCATCTGTGATCCTATTCGCTGAATTCTTGTTAAGTCTAGTGACGTAACTAGTCATTACAAGCTCTCAGCGAATGGAAGAAAATGTTAATAGTTAATTCAGCAATTTTCTGTTTTATTGCGTCCTGTGCATTGGATGCGCGGATATCGTGTGGGGTTCCGTGATTGTTGGGATGATTAATTCCATTATTCTCCGATCGTTTTTCATCCAAAGGTTTCTGTATAATTGATTGGTTAACTCTGTTCCATTAACTTGAATAGGGTACCAAACGTTATCGTCTCGGCCCGTAGTTGAGCATTTCGTAGAAAGGACACCGATATAATACTTGCTGGCACTGCCAGCCCAGAAGAATTTCAGGATGTTGATTACCATGAAGAATCTACAACAGCAGACATTTCAAATTGAAATTGATGCCTCAGAATCAGTAAGTATGCCTGTGATAAATGAGCTAAACACTGACATCTGGGTGCTGTTTTGTCTCGTTTTTTAGCGTGCTGCTTTTTTTCATGTATGGAAGTTCCGCGCTAATGTTTTGTGACCTCTTATTGGTGAGCTGCACCCTGCTACAACCTGGCTTCAGAAATGTAAAAAAATGTGGTAACCAAGCACAGGAAGCACAATAACATTTTAAACTCGTATTTATGTTTTATACAAGTAGCTGCAATATTCTAAGGACCTAGCACCTGAGCCCCAGAGCCAAAACACTCCTATGATGCTTCAAAATTTATACAAGTTCTTATTCCTTGCTGTAAGTTGTGTCATCGCTTGCATGCCTTAAAGGGACCCTCCCACCTTCAAAAAAAATAATGAATTGGCATGAAAGTGATGTCGCTCGGTTCAGAAAGAGCAAAAACGAATATCTACCAAATGTCATCGAAAAATATTCACCGGTTTTCAAGATATTAGACTTTTAGTTTTGTTTACTTTTTGGGATCTCCGCTGTTCCTAGCGACTTTATTTGAAAGTGCGGCATTTGTTGCGCGCAAAGCAGCATATACCACCGCGTGCTACAAAACGTTTTAGTCAAACATTTAACGGACGTTCGAAAGCCTGATGACGTCATCAGATTCCCGTAATGGTTAAGAGATAGGGACCACGCTGGTCCCACCCTTGACCCTGCAAGTAAAGGGAAGAAATTTCTTGAACACCATAAAGCTGAGGGGGTTGCGACCAGGATAAATGGTGGTTTCTGAGCCTGGCCGCAAACTTGGCTATCTCAACTCAAAACTAATGTTAAGGTGGGAGGGTCCCTTTAAGTCTCCTGCGAGTCTATCAATTGTGCAAACTCTCAACCAGTTTAAGGGCTGGTTCACATGCCTTCGTCACTTCTTTTATTCATACCACCACTTGCTTAACTAAAGGCATTACCAGCACTATTTTTTGTGTAACACTGCTATTTACAATAAATGCCATTTTTCATTTCAGGTCAAAGCACTGAAGGAGAAAATCGAGAAAGAAAAAGGCCCAGACTATGTTGCTACAGGTCAAAAGCTCATATATGCAGGTAGGTCAAATTTGGTACCTAACTATTCTTCCTAGGTATCTTGTTAATCAGGTAAATTCCATCATCTCATTATGATCTATGAACCTGTTGGGCCTGAAATGGAAAATACATGTTAGATCATTGACATACTGGAATAGTATGACAAACCAAGATATAGAATATGGATCAAGGGTCTATGTGGATCCACAACATGCAGCTTCATGCCAATGTTTAGGTAGTACCAGCTGATTTCACATCAATTTGTGTCACAAACTGTTTTTCTGCTGTTAGAAGATAAAAAGCTGCATTTCTGTCTAGGCAAAAAGCGCCTGGTCTTACTGTATATCTGGACAAAATCATGTCAATTTCATTGGTGCCTCTGGATCTCTAGACAAAATTGTACTGGTTCTGTGATCACAGATCCTTTTTTCATATCTGTGTCCTTGCAACTTCTGTGTGTTTCTATGTAATTACTAGTTACCTAGGTTATGTTCTTCTATGCGTATTGCCATTGTCCTTTTTCAGGAAAAATCCTGGCTGATGACACACCATTGTCCGAGTACAACATTGACGAGAAGAAGTTTGTCGTGGTGATGGTGATGAAGCCCAAGCCTGCTCCACTGCCGACCGCGCCGCCGGACCCGACGGCGACTGCCACCCCCGCCCCCGCACCCGCGCCTGCGCCCGCCCCAGCCGCCACCCCCGCCGCCGCCACCCCTGCCCCCGCGCCGGCGCCGGCGGCAGCCACGGCCACCCCTGTGGCGCCGCCGGCGTCTCCGGTGCAGCCGGCGCCGGCAGGAGCGCCGGAGGCGGCTCCCGCGGGCGAGTCGGCCCTGCTGACTGGCGACCAGCTCGAGACGGTCGTCAAAAACATCATGGACATGGGCTACAGCCGAGAGGAGGTCAGTGGCGACCGGCGGGCGCTGGCACACCGCCCACCGCCGCAGCCGGACGCCGGATGTCGCCCGCGACCACCCATCCGTTATGACTACAGTCATCATCCTTCAAAATGAGATAGAGTTCAGGCATCTTTCAAGGTTACTCAGTAACAGACAAAATGTAACTTACGACACATTTTAGGTTTTGTATTGGTGAGCTATGTCAAAGGTGCCCCGAAAACTTACTGTTTTAAAAGCGGCTAAGCTATTTCGGTGTTCGGGTTGTAGGATTTCTTTCGTATTGCCTCATCCTCTCTGTTGGATGGTGTGGTGGTATGTCTGGATTTTTACCTGGTCACTAACTCTGCCTGTGTTCTCGCTCTCGGCAGGTGACGCGGGCGCTGCGGGCCAGCTTCAACAACCCGGACCGGGCGGTGGAGTACCTGCTCTCGGGCATCCCGGAGGCGGTGCTGGAGCGGATGGCTACCGGCGGCGACCAGCCAGAGGCCGAGGAGGCGCCCGCCGCCGGCGAGCAGGGCGGCGGCGGCGGTACCGGCGGCGGCGCGCCCACCTCCGCCGACACGGCCCAGCAGCTGGCGGCGCTGCGCGCGCTGCCGCAGTTCCAGCAGATGCGGCAGATGGTGCGCTCCAACCCGTCGCTGCTGCACGCCGTGCTGGTCGAGATCGGCCAGAGCAACCCGCAGCTGCTCGACCTCATCTCGCAGAACCAGGAGGCGTTCGTACGCATGCTGAACGACCCGAGCGACGCGCCGCCGGCGTCTGGCGGCGGCGGCGGCGGTGGGGGCGGTCAGCGCGCGGCGCCCGCCGGCGGCCAGCCGCGCCCCGAGGGCGGCGGCCTGCTCGGCGGCCCGACCACCATCCAGATATCGCAGCAGGACAAGGAGGCCATCGAACGGGTCAGTCGCCGCTCAACAGCCTGAATGCAGGCTATTCGAGAGTGAAACCGCCACGGCTGGCTACAAATCCCAGTCTGCGTACAATATTTACAAAATGCATGCTACAAAGCGTTTTGACGGATTTAGTGCCCCACTGGTAATCCATTCAGCGATATGCGTTATAGACTGAAGTTATTGCAGTCTACAAACAGTGTGTAGAATGGAGGTTAAATGAAAACCCTTTTCTAACAGCATGCGAAGTGGACTTTGTCCGATCCACTTACGATTTATCCCTTGTCGCTGACCTTTGTCGCATCCCGGGCGCTCTGTTATCACATTGCCCCATCCATAACCCCCAAATAACAAGATGCCTGGTCTCTATCTCTTCCTCCCCCTCGCCTCTCTCTCTCTCTCTCTCTCTCTCTCTCTCTCTCTCTCTCTCTCTCTCTCTCTCTCTCTCTCTCTCTCTCTCTCTCTCTCTCTCGCTCTATCTCTTCCTCCCCTCCTCGCCTCTCTCCCTCTCCCCCTTTCTCCCTGTCGTGCCCGAGCAAAATGATGATATTTTGACGGGTCGCAAAAAACTGCATTGCGTTATGACCCACAATATAATTTGATGTGTCGGTGACCACTGTGCACCTGACTGACGGCTGTGCTCTGTGTCGGCAGCTAAAGGCGCTCGGCTTCCCCGAGCAGCTGGTGGTGCAGGCGTACTTTGCCTGCGAGAAGAACGAAAACATGGCGGCGAACTTCCTGCTGTCGCAGGGCTTTGACGACTAGCGCGGCGCGCCGGCGGACGAGACTGAGCGTGCGCCGTGTGGTCCGGCGGTCCGGCCCGGCCGCCCTCGTTCATGAGTGTCGACGCGAGGGCGCGGCCGGCCGGACTCGGCCGCCGCCGTCGCCCGCTTGTGATGGAGTCAGTTAACAGACACGATGCCAGGGTGTTTTCATTTGCGTATCCAGCTAAACCTATTGGCTTGTTGCGCGCGCAGCCGCGCCGGTCGGCGGCTGGCGGCGCGGTCGGTCCTGACGGCGGCTCGCTCCGACCCGCCGGCCGGGGCCGCGGTCCGACCGGCCGTCTGTGCCGCGAGCGGGTCGCGCCGCCGCCGGCGCTGGGTGCCCCTCAGGCGGCCCGCTCCCGCTCGAAGAGACGGTCTGTTTTATAAAACTGGTTAAATAAATGCGGCTCGAGCGTTCATCTGTCTAGTCTGGTCTGTCTGGAAGTCTAATTTGGTGTTATTTTGTTGAAGTGCACCACATGCATGGTAGGTAGGAAATAGTTCGGTCGTCGCAATGTGTGTATCTACACGAGATAATTTCATCCATTGATTTGATAAAATACGCTCCCTCAAATCCTCCAAACCAAAGGAGTCTGGGGACGTGCAACAAGTGAAGGGGTAAAGTCTGGGGCGAAGCTGGCTTTTAAGGTCAGTGGGATGTGGAGGGGGGGAGGGGTACGAGCGACAACTCGCTAACAGGACTTGGGCGTTATGTTGATACTAGTAATGCCGGTTTTTTTGTTAGACTGCCATTGAACTTGGTACGGAATACGGACTACGGAGCTATTTTTGAAATTATAACCAGGACATGCTTCGTAGCTAGCCTTGCTTCTTAGAAAATAAACGTTCTATTACAATGCTACCGGGGTCTTTTAATTAGTAGCCGCTTTCAAAAAGCTTATTTTTACATAAATGGCGCAATAAAGACATTTTGTCATGCGTGATGCAGTGCATGCTGATGCGCATAACACTATAGATAATGCCGAAAGTTAGAGGTTTATATAGCCTTGGTTAGAGGTATCAGGTAGGAGCTTGTGGTGGTGGCTATTCGATATATGGCCTTGGGTGGTGGTTTGTTTGTAAGTAAAGTGTAAACGTTTTTCTTCTGTACTGTACATAGCACATCATCAAATGTCAATCACTATGGTTGAAATACCGAGCAAATTCTAATAAAAATTAAAATTGATAGGGGTCATTGAAATTTGATTTCATTTTTTTTTTCTGTGGCTGTGCCTGTGTCAACTATCAGTGTGCCATGCTGTTAGGATGTTTTCTGGCCATTTCAATTTCAATGTTGAAGTGAATTTCTGCATAATTCCTTCTTTTCATACCTAATCAGTCGGGGGAGGTTTGGTCAATCGTTGTCATTTTTAGCACGTGCTATTTTTGTCACACGTGCTAAAAATGACAACGATTCTGCTATTTTTGACAACGATGAGGCCGATTTCACTCCTCAGCGAGGAAATGAAGATTTTGGAAAGATAAACACTGATTTTGGAAAAGAAGTGCTGCCACCTGGTGCAAGACAAAGAATCCAGCTTTAATATGCCTGTTATTTGTATGGTAGTTTGTTTTGTGGCCTGAAGTTGGAACTTAAAATTGAAGCATCCGAAAATGATCGATATTGATCGAAAACATGATGTTGATGAAAAAAATAATATTTTAAGTTGAGAGAGGAGGCCATTTTATCCAGATGCAGTAGTTTACTTCTTGAAATTATTTTTGCTAATGACGGCTGCTAATTATCCCTCATTACATGGCAGTCGTCGTAAGCAAAAATAATTTCAAGAAGTAAACCACCGCATCTGGATAAAATGGCCTCCTCTCTCAACTTAACATATTATTTTTTTCATCAACATCATGATTTCGATCAATATCGATCATTTTCGGATGCTTCAATTTAAAGTTCCAACTTCGGGCCACAAAAAAGGGTATACTTCAACGTTGGACTACCATACAAACAACGGCCATATTAAAGCTGGTTTCTTCTTCTTGCACCAGGTGGCAGCACTTCTTTTCCAAAATCAGTGCTTGTATTTCCAAAATCGTGATTTCCTCGCTGAGGAGTGAAATCGGCTTCATCGTTGCTAAAAATAGCTGATAGCGTTGTCATTTTTAGCACATGGTTGCCAAAAATGGCATGTGCTAAAAATGACAACCATTGACCAAACCTCCCCCAACTGTAATCATGACCATGAAGCTCATTTGAGTACCATATTGGACCTGCATTTTAGGTCGACTCCATAGGTCAAAGGGTGTCTTCAACCAATTGAAAGTGCTGCCGTATGGTCATCTCGTAGCTCAGGATTCAGTGTTGGTGATCACTTGTGTCAGATTCAAATTTCAAGGGGGATTTTGAGGTAAATGATTCTTTTGCAACTGTTCCTTGTGAGTGGGGTATAACGCTTGGAGGGACTGAAAGTGATAAAATTTGTAATTTTTCTAGAATAAACAGAAACATTCACAACTTTTCTCAAATTAGTTTGCTTTTAACTGTACAGCAGTGCGTAGGGCACCAAAATCTTGGGTGTTTTTGGAAGTTGGGAGAAGTTTGTTTGGAGGTAGGTGTGCTATGCCCCCTGTGCAGGATCTGACCCAAGGCCAAGGCCCAAGACCACCTTTTTGGAACCCATATTCCTACAGTGATTACTCAGATCAGAGTTGCAATGGTGAGAGGGCCTGTACAACTTTGAAATAGGTACATAAGTTTAACATGACATTCTGGGCAGGAATGGTCTGCGGTTGGTGATATCAGCTCTGTCTAGTAAATCACCTGTGGGTAAGAAAACCACAAGAGACCGTAAGTAAGCAGATACTTTAGGTGGGACTTTCTGTAGTGGAAGCTGGTTTCTGGCCAAAGGACTGAAGAGAACTGCATAATGCTGAATAATAATGAACAATAATAATGCATGTTTAATCCACAATATGCAGTGGAACTAGCTGGGCAACTGCAAGTTGTAATACAATACAGTCATGTGCCAGGTGCCTTGCTAGTATTGCACCTGGATGGCTCAATGTAAAAGCAGAGCTCACTAATTTGCCAGTTTACTCCCAAACACTTTGATATTGTAACCACTACCCCGTGATCACTGTCTACTGGGTACCTACCCTAGGTCATGGTTCAGACATTTTGGTATGTGTCACTGCCTATGTGTAATTTTGAGCTTAAAATGACCACTGACCAGCTGACTTTTTCAGAAAGAAGCTCTGAGCTAATGAAGGCCTATGAAGCAGTGTACTTACCAACAGCAAGAGTAGAACTTTGCTGATCATCTGTTTGAATTGTTTTTCATTTCTCTTGACTTCAGAATGGTAAGATTCCAAATAGATTCCTTATATGAGTTTGTTTCTCACAAATAAACATCTTACTTTTTATGTACTTTTTGTGGTTAAGGAAAGGGAGAAGATCATAGTGTAGTGTAGGGAAAAGGGATAAATGAAGGTCTATTGATATTCACCCATCCATGGACCATGGGTCTAATAATTTAAGGCTTACATGGTTTAAGATGTGAGTCAAATTGTTTCTTTACTGTTTCAGCAGGCATTCCTCTTGTCAATTGTATCATGGCTTTGCTTCAACAGTCCTTTGTGAAATTCGATTATCAGTGAGTCCCCTCATCACAGATTGAAAACCCAAGCACATTGATATAACCTATGCCCTATGGTAATGGATTTGAATGTTATAATGCTCACTCATTAAAGGGACCCTCCCACCAGGGGCGGCGCCACGGGTTTTCGATAGGGGGGGACGGGGACGGGGGCTTGCCTAACTGAAAATCCCAAAAGTAGATACTGATCGTGTATGAAAAAAAACGAGGCACGTAACGCCGCAAAACTTGGCAAACCCCAAAACACATCGAATTGTGCATCCCGTTTCCAAACTTATCCTAGGACACCTAAGATCGATCACCTTTTCAAGCATCCTTGCCTCTAAATCAAAATTTGCAGTCTTGCCAACTCAAAGCTGGTTTCCTACAAGCTGCGAATTGCTTAGGTATGAGTAGCAGTGCCAACTATTCTTACGTTTCGTACTTTCAAATTTTCGATCTTACGTCTGGTCAGCTTCATGGCTTCACCATCATATAGTCATGGATGAAAAGTGGGAATGTCTTCTGCTCTGACAAGTGCGCCAAAACTGCAATATAATTTCAGAATCATGACATCACCACCTGATCTATATGCAACGGGCAGGGTGCAGCTAATGGCTAGCCGTCAGTGGTCATGTCATCGGTGGTCACTCAAAAGGTCATGCTAGGTCATGGAAGGTCACCATCCGTTATTTGATCACACTTTCTGATGGATTTTACTTACCAAGAGCTTCGCGGGAAAAACGAGCGCATGCACCGTTGAAAAAAATTGAGTGAAAGGGTCTCAGGTCCGGCGACCTCTGCAGGTGTAATGCCCCAAGGTAGGATTCCGGTCCTTGTTGATTAACTTCGTCAAAAATGGCAGTAGAGCTGTGATGTCGGCACCATTGTGTTCGTCATGATCGAGCTGGCACGACCTGCATCGTTCTCATATTCACCCTCCAATCGTAACAACTACAGCAGGGATTGGCAAATGGCGGGGCACCCCCTTTGGGAGGTAATGAAGGTCTCTGGAAACCTCATCCCTCATCTCTTTAGCATTAATGGCTCTGAATGGCTCTCCTTATGGAACAGGTTTCTTGACTGGTCTGTTTCACCCCAGAATTCAAAGACTAGTCAAGGTAAAACCGAGCGCACCACAGTGAGCACAATTTGATAAGCTGGTGTATCTCAATTTGCATGTAGAACCTTTCACGTATCACGTACCTAAAACCCTTTCGTGCACTCATGTAAAAGCAACTGCCATGTTTCAACAGCTGTGAGCTGGTAATGGCATTTTCACAGCCGCTGACGTAAGAAGGGGGGGGGGGGGCTCGATTAGACCCCCAGTCGTTCGGCCGCCGACCGAACTTAGTTTTGCAGAGAAAAAAAAACGAGTGCTATCGAACCCCTTGGCGAGAGGGAGCCGATGCTACCCAATTATAAGGTCTTCGCTACTGCGTGCTTTTTTGTCCTGCCTGTGATCTATCCGAACACTTCTCCCCACAAGTGCTGGGGTTAAATGACATAGATTTCAAATGGTTCCTGTGGTAGAACTGCCATGCTTGAATTTGACTAATTAGGAATGGACAATATGCATATAGTAACGGAAATCTATGAAATTTTCCGTAAACTTGGTTTTGTCGGCAATGGGGACTGGCAGCTTGGGGTGGGGAGGTAATAACCCTGCCTGGCGCCCCAAAAAGGGGGGGGGGGCACGATCCCCGAGGCCCTGACGATCACGACGATCACCAACTACAGGCATCACAGCTCCACACCTTTTGCAGATGGCCAGGACCCCCTGCGATACATCCCAACAGCAATCTTTATTCAGAACCTGCCTTGATTAACCA